CGGCGGCAACATGATGATCATGGTCTGCACCGTGACCAGTCGGCTCTGTCATGCATGGCGATGAAACGTCACCCACAGCGATGCAGCACTGCAACGGACGCAGGGTGCGCTAAATCACTAGAGTGAAGGTGTCACACTGAAATCAGGCAGGCAAGCAAGTGAAAGAGAAAATTTTGCACAAAGTGACTAGCAGGCAAGTACAACGAGCAGGGGAATAAGCATGTGCGTACGCATGGGCATGAAGATAGGGACAGGTACGTGAATGTACTCCCTCCCATCATACCTGCATCTTCTGCCGCTGCCCTCTTTCATGCCCTCTCCTTCGGTCCATGAGGCTTCAAATGTCCAGGCTCTGGACAGGGATAGAGTGAATGGGTGTAGGGAATGAGAACGCTGCTGGCGAAAGCAGCCTGGACCATGGGGTGCATAGTAAAGTTGAAGGGGGAGAGGGGGTTGGCGGAAAATTGGGGAGAGGGGGGAGTGGAAAGGAGCAGAGGAAGAGGAAAAACGAGAGGAAAGGGAAAGAAAGGCAAAGGTGAAGTGGGTGGAGTGGGGGGGTGCGTGAGGCGAGTGTGCTGCCTGTGCTGGCCGGGGAGAGGATGGTTTGGAGGCTGTGCTGTTGTCTTCAAGCACTAGTTCCAACCATGGCCCATGCACATGTCAGCTGGCCCATTTTCCCTATCCCCACACACCACTACTCCCAACCCTCACTTAACCCCACTCCCCAACTGCATACATCTCCGTATCACAAAAAAAAATCCATCCTCTAACACTTACCCCCTTCATCTCCCCATCCTCCAAACCTCCAGTTCCCCAATCCCTTTACCCCTCCCACATTCGGACCCCGATCCTTCACTCCACATGTCACTCACCCACCTGTGTGACATGCAATCAACGCCCATCATACCGGAGTTCACCACTCCCGCGTGGATATCTGAGATCGAAGACACCCCTTGTATGCACCACTGCTGCTGAAGTGGTGAATCAGGGAAGGGAAGGGGAATGGAAAAGGCAAGTGGGGAAGCAGGGGGTAAATTAAGGAGCACGAGGAAGGGGAAGCGCAAGAGAGGGGCGAGAAAGTAGGGAATTCTGCTTCCCCATACATCTTCCTCCTTGCTCCACCAAAACCTGTTCCCTGTCTCCATATCTCCATACACACCCTCCCCTCATTTTCCCCCCCTCTAAAATCCCTCAAGTCCCCCCCTTACCCACCCCCCTTCCCCCCCCCCCTCCTCCTTTTCCCCCTCATGACTACACACGCATACGGCCACCACTCACCACGCTGCGTGCCGTGCTCCCATCAGCGATCAATCCACCAATTACGTCTCCCATGGTCCTCTGGAGTCTGGAGCACCTCTCACACGCTCCCTACATTTTGGTGGTCAGGCAGGTAGGGGCGGGGAAAGGGAGCACATGGGAGTAGAGAACACTGAACGCGATGTTGCAGGGATGGATGGGCAAGAAGTGGCCACTGATAGATGCAGAATGAGAGGAAGAAGGGTGAAGTGTGAACGGGGCAGAGGCAGCTCGGGGAGAGAGATAAAAGAAGGATGGGAACAGAGGAGCAAGCAGAGACAGGGGCTGATGGGGTATACTCAAAAAGCTATCCCATCGTCCTGCCTTAAGTAGCAGCTGGGGAAGAAAACAGGGAGCACAAGGGGGTAGCGAGCGAGGCAGCAAGGAAGACGGGCACAAAGCACGGAGTGGGGATGTTGCAGGGAGAGATCGCTGAGACAGATGCCATAGCGCCCGCATGGAGGGAGAGGTGGAAGGGTAAGGTGCGAGAGGGGCATGAAATCCACAGGGAGGAAGACAGGGGCGGGATGAGGTAAAGGGGGAATAGAGATGAGGGAAGGAAGAAAGGGGCGGAAAAGGTGACTGGAATCCCTTAGCCCAATACGCCACTTCACTTACACTCCCTTCTCCCCACCCCCTTCCAGCCCCCTCTCCTTCCCCCTTCCTCTTTCTCCTCCGCTCCCCCTCCAACTATCCCGAGTCTCTCCCCACCTTCCGTCCCCTAACACCCTCCTCAACTCTCGCACACACAAACCCCCACACTGCTCTCACCACGCTGTGTGCCTTGCTTCAGCAGCACGCCTCCTCGTGAGTCCACTCCCTCTGGGTCCTTTTGATCCACCATCACAGCATGCTCCCATGTGGCTGCAAGTAGTAGGGTGGGGGAGAGGAAACGAGGAAACAGCGGAGAGAGGGAGACGCAGGGACAGTGTCCTAGGAGATTCTCAGAAGTGCAGCAGAGGTGTGTGGACAGAGAATGGCCAGTGGCAGGGGGAAGTTGGGGCATGAATGGCTCAGGGACGGAGGGGAAGTTAGAGATGGAACAGGAGGGATAAGAAGCACGATCGGGCACACTGCATCTTATGAATGGAGTGGAGCAATGGCGAGGAGATCCGATCAAAAGGGAGGAGAGGAGTACGGTTTCGGACGAAGAGGCAGGGGAAGCTGAGGGCGCGGAACTAGGAAACGAAAGGGGGTGCATGGCGGTAAACAGGAGGTGACGTGGAAGCCAAGAGGAAGAAGAGTTTCATGTACTGGGAGGGAGGCAATTAGCTACCTCCCTCAATGCCACACGGTTCCCTACCCTGGCACACGCACGATGAGGCACCTGTTGCCGCAGGCACACAGCAACAGAGCGAGCACGACAATCACCCCACCACCAGGGTCAGCCAAGCACCCACGGCCCGCCCAGTCCACCACCGCCGAGCTAACAGCTGCTGCATCCCGCCCACCCAATAGGTGACCCGTGACCGAGAAGCACCACTAAGAGAATCGCGGGGCATCTTGGACACGGATAACTACGTGGCCGGCCAGCGAGCTTCTCGGATGCGCACTTCTCGAGCGAGAAGTGCACGAGAATCGAACACACGATTGAAACTTATGGGGTTTGAAAAAAGGCGCTGCTGGCAGTTACCCATTCAATGCAAATGGGACTGGAGTGAAGGGTAGGTGCTGTTGATGTGGGCTATAAAAGCGGACCTGGGGGAGTGAAATGGAGAGGAGGGGCGGGAGGAGGGGAGGGCAGGGATAAAATGGGGTGGGGTGGGGTGGAGAAAGAGGGTAAGGGAAGAAAGGGGCACTGCAGCTAGGAAATGCGGGGCATATGTTGAGTTGAACTCCATACTTCGAGGGAAGAAGGCGTGCGTAATAGGGGGTTTGTGTGACGCCAGGAGAGGAGAAATGCCGTGAGCAGCACAGTCTGACAACACAAACCATCGGCACCTACCCCATTACTAGTCCCCTTTACAGTCCACTCCCCACTCCTCACGACATTCCACCCAGACCCAACAGCCAATTACCTCTTCCCCTCTTTCCTCCCCTCCACCCCTTCTCTTTCCTTCCTGCCCATTCTCCTTCCCCCCCCCCTGGTCCTTCCCCTCCATCCTGGCGCCACTTACACTCAAACTCACGTGACTGCGTGCATTGCTTCCATTAACGTTCCCCCTACGGTTGAAACAGAGGACATCTTTACCCACTGGCTAAGGTGGTGCAACGCACTGGCAGCACATAGTGTGCACACTTCTCCTGAGTACCCTTCTTCACGCCATACGTGATGTGCTTGAATGTCCGCCAATAATGGCAGCTCCGAGAAAGGCCCACGCATCTGCACGCCTGGCTGAGCGAGTCATGTCGGAGATTCCGTTAAAAAATGTCACCCGCCTCTCTCCCGCACCTTCGCCCTCCCCCTCACTTTCCCCATCCCACCATCTCTCCAATCGCCCTCGTTACTGCCGCGGCCGCCCCCGCCGCTGCTGTTCAAGTCACATGATTGCATGCTGGATGCGCATGCGACGGTTGTGTTGGGCTGATCAGACGTCGTCACGCATGGGCCACGAGTCAAGGGAAGGGCGCTGCTGGTGGGGGGAAAGGGGAAATGGAGAGAATAGGACGAGTAGTAGGGCTAAATAAGTCAGAGAGACCGGGGAGATTGGACGAAACGGCTCACAAAATGATAGACTTGTGTCACATTCAGCATGCTGCTTCGAATGCCACGTCAGCAGCCGGCGAACGAAGATGGGTGGTGGTGCGAGGAAGGAAAGCGAGCAGATGGAAATGCCGGTGGGCGCGCGGAAAGCGAGCAGACCATCATGATGCCATCCGATGCGCGCGCGGATGAGAGGAGAAGCAGCCGCAGGCGGGCTGACAGGCAGAATGCGATTATGGGACGCGCGCAATTGACTTACTGAAGGCCGAACGGCGGAGGAAAAGTGAGGACGAACGGGGAGGCGGTGAGAAGAGAGATGACGCGCGTGGGGACCAGATCCCCGTCCGGAGAATGACAGCGGCCAGAAACGCCTGGCAGCTTCAGAAGGAGGATAGCGGGAAGTTGGTTGCGAAATACGCGACGCCCGCGAAGCTGAAGGCACACTGCTTCGTCTAGCCCTAACCCTCATCGACTTCTCGCCAAGCCTTCGCTTTTGCCCGTCCTCTGCGTGAACGTGATAAAGGCTGGCCCATTGCTACAATCGATGGCCACTTAGAATAGCTACTCTGAAACACTTGGCGGTGCAGGCACGCAGAGAATATGGCACCTAAAAGCAAGCTAGCCATTAGGGCTCATTTTGAAACTGGGTTACAGCGAAGCGGAGGCCGCACCCAGCATTGTAAAGTTCAAATTTGGTTTCAGCTCAGATTGGCGCGCATTTGCAAATCGAGCACGAGTGCCGTTTGGATCTCGGAAAAAAATTGAAGCAGAAGTTGAACTCCGATGAGCGTTACGAGAAGTTACCAGCTAAAGAACATCGCAACTTGATTTGTACGATCGCCAGAGCCTGTCAACACCGTCCAGCAGGAATGTCGAAATTCGAGAGGCATTTAGGGCGCGATGCTTTGGGTTCGGATTGGGACATAAGTTCCAACTTTCAGGGTTTTTTCACACGGTTATGTGTAGTTCAGTAGGTTTTGCTACGGCTAAGTGCGGTTGTCGTTCGAACATTGGCATTTTCTGCTAAAAGCCGCCCTTGGGTGACAAAAGCGAACGACATGGCGGATCTCCCGAGGTTTTGTTTCCAGTTTCGGTCGAGATTAGGAACCCTAAATTCCATTCGACGCGACGACGTGGATAGGCAGCTTCTCGGGAGTTCAGCCGCGCCATTCGCGAATTTTCCTCGTCCCGCTAGTGGCTTCTCGTGAGTAGAACGAGTCGTTATCCTTAGTGCGCTGCCCTTCCAGCATGTCGCATGCCACTCGTCGTCCGCCGCTCCCCTTCCGGCGGATTCACTGCGGCGCAACGTCTTGTGCACGCCCACACGACACTAGCGCGGATCCCATGCCATGTGTCCCCTATGGCGCACGCGACGCCGTCGTGGCTGCTGTGCCCGCTTTCTCTCCACAAGCTGGAAAAGCAAAGTTCGCGCCACCCCCAGAACATGATGCGTGGGGCGGGGATCTACACCGCCGGTTGTGTGAGAGCCACACCCTCATGGGCTCCTGGCTTCAGCAGGGCCTGGCACCGCGTGAATGCGTCGCTGCGATTGGCGACAACAGCCTTAGAATTTGATGGGGTGCGGCCACGTGGACGAGGGGAAATACCCATTCAACCGTGCCCGCTATGTGCGTTGCTTTCGCCGGAGCCTTTCGTTTTATCACGCACTACGAAAAAGCCGTGACGAAGGCGTGCACGACGAGCATACAGCCTGTCGCACAGACTCTTGATGCTGAGCATTGACCGGCTCTCATCTCACTTGGGACATGGCACGCACGGGTCTTCTCAGCCTATCACCGTCGCTCCCCCTCTCCTACGGCACACAGCTCCCGATATCATGGCAAGGCACTGGAATGCGCGAGTCTTGTGCAGCGGGAGATGCACGGTCGTCCTTGCGCGCGGCAGATTATGGCGAGACAAGCCTGCCGGTTCCGCAGAGCATTCACCTGCCCCCCTCCTGCGAATGATGCTTCTCATCATGCCGAAGCTCGTCAGTGCTTTTATTCGCCCAGTCATTCAGGACCTCGAAGCACGAGCTTAAGTTTTGGGCACAGGGAGTAACAGCGGCATCTAGACGTCGGCGCTCAGCCTCCCAGTGAGTCAGTGACCGTCCCAGGGCGCCGTTATTGTCTGAGTTTCTGGCCCCCCTCCTCGTCGTCCTGTCAACACCTTCCCTTGCCTCTCTCACTGACGCTATGGAGCAAGGCAGCTGCAGCAGCAACACGGGTGCAGGCTTTGAGGCGTGCGGTCTGGAGAGGTGCGTGTTTCTGGCGGTGGATGGCAGGGAGGACGGCGCAGAGGCGGAGGAGGAGGGGGCGTTGGGGGGAAAGGTGGAGGCGGGGCAGGGGCGGAGGAACACAGTGGAGGTGGTGGCAGCTCTCGCACTCGCCTCAACCCTGTGCTGCGGTAAGCGGCTTGTTTTGATTCCACTCGGTTTACTCTCTTCTTGTTTTCGACAAGGCTTTGCTTTCCTCTTGCGTGCTTCGAAACGTCCACACTGTATACCTCTAGTCACCTCCACCACAAACATCTGCCCGACTCTGACCCACTCAACCCCTCCTGCACGCGTCTTCATAACTTGCAGACACGGGTCGTGTGCCCACAGAGTGGCAGCGGAAGCTGCAGCACTTGCTGCCACATCGCCCCCGGAGAGTTCTCATGCTGGTGCCAACAGCGGCCCAGCAGCAGGCAGCGGAGAAGGCGTGGAAGAGGGCACAAAAGCAGCAGGAAATGCAGCCGGGAACTCAGCAGGCAGCACAGCAGGGAACACAGCAGGGAGGGCAGCAAGAGCACGATGCAGCAATGGCTGTGGTGGGCGTGCAGTTTATGGTGGCAGGGCATCCCGTTCCTTGCTGTGAATCTGCTCAGTCCGACCTCGTAATGCTCTCGGCTGTCTGTGCTCCACCCTCTGCGCTGCCCCCCATACACGCGGTTCAATCCCTCTGGCCTCCCTCCAGGTCCGTCCCTGTGCCTGCTCGAGGAGAGCGGTGGGTGCCTCTAGGTTCCATGTTGTCATGCTTCTTGTGGTCCTTCACCTCTGTAGCTGGAAACTTTCAAATTCGTTCTCTACTTCCTGCAGTTAGTGGGGCATGCACGCCATGTACTTGTTGTATCCTGACGCGTTTTCTTTCACAGTTGCTGGCTCGATCATCCTCTGCGGCGCACACCTAACTCGTTTTCCCTCACAGGATCCGCGCTGCTCTCTCAACCCCTGCACGGCTCCTTCTCATCTTGGCCCACGAGTCCACTCTCTCATCCGGTAGTGACACGTGGCGCCACGTCATTGGCCATACCAAGGCCCATGGCAGGTTTTTCGACGCAGAGCAAGTTGATGGGGCGGTGAGGATGGTGGTGCGAGCGAGGCGGGCTGCAGTGGAGGAGATGGGGCAGATGCTGCAGGATGCCAGAGGAGTGGCTTCTGGAACGGGAGTGGGAAACGTCTCAGAAGGATCCATGCAGTGGCATGCTCTGCTGTGGACGGTATGACCCACGTCACGAGGCTGGTGTGACAGATCCGTTGCCATGGGGCCTGTTGCCATGGGGCCTGTTGCCATGGGGCCTGTTGCCATGGGGCCTGTTGCCATGGGGGGGTGGCTATTGCATTGCTTCCCGATTTCGACCTTCGCTTTGGCTGCTAGGGCATTACTTTCCGTTCTCCTAGCTGCAGCACTTCTTCCCAAGCCTCTGCATGTGCCTTATTCCTTCTAGTCTGTTTTCCTTGCAGCATTTTTCCTAGTTGAGCTGCGTCCTCCTCTTTCCCTTCCACAACCCTCTCTCCCCCCTCAAACCTCCCATCCCTCCCTTTTCCCTCTCTCGCTTCCCCGTCCCCTTCCCCCCTCTCCCTCCCCCCACCCCCTCACTTCCAAAATTTCCCACCGCCAGGGTCTGTTTTCGCCGTCATTTGGGGAGTCTCTCCAGCGGCGCGAGTCGGTGCAGGTGCTGCTGCTGCTGCGGCGCATACTCCAGGGCAGGCAGGGCAAGGGGGGGGAGAGGGGGCTAGACTGCTGGCTGGGGGGAGAGAGCGGGGCGACGAGCCAAGGGCGTGATGATGAGCTGGCAAGACAGTGGAGCGACATTGTCCATGTGGACATGGTCGGCGACCTCTGTCTTATCTGGTCAACCGATGTGTGTCACGAGAGCCTCAAGCAGGCGAGTAGCAGCTGCTGTCCTATAAATGCAGCAGCTGCTGCTGGCTTTCCGCATCATCATGTTCAACATCTCCTTGTCTCCGCTAGCAGCCTCCTTCCTTCCCTTGTCATGTGTCCCTTCTACGTCCCATGTGTCTACCCTCTTTACTATGCCGCAACCAGGTAGTGAGGCTGTGGGCGCTAGTGTCAGAGGACCAGCGCCTGCCATGGCTGCGTCGCATTCGCACCCATCTGTCTTCCTACTCACCCGCATACCTCCACTATTGCGCCTTGCACCAGTACTGCGGCTCCTCACCTCGCCTGCGCGTGCCTGTAGCCGTGCAGCAGACCAGCATCCAATGGTGGCGCCCCTCCTCTGGTAGGGCCGCGCCTCGGGCTTAAACTCTTCTTCCCTCATCCAATCCTTTCCTACTAAACCCCATACAATTTTACCATGGACCTCTCTCCTAGCAATCATCATACCATCAACTCCCCGTGTTCGATCCTCCCATTCCCCCCCCTGGATCTCTGCTTCCCTCGTTTCGCCTGTCAGGATCCCCCACCGACGCAGCAGCAGATGCCTTGACTCCGCCCAAGTTCATCGCCCTGCAGCCTGCCATGGCCCTCAGCCTGCTGGCACGGGGTGCGTCTGCTCTGGGATACGCCTTGAGCTGCGTGCCCTTTGAGGTGAACGCGGAGGAGAGGGCCGCCGTGCTCTGCCCCTCCAGCCTTGTCGTGCATGGTCGATCCGGTGGGTCAGGGGGGGTACATACGTAGTGAGTCAAGCATGGCCATTGCTGGTCAAGTGGAGTCATTAGTGGTTCAAGGACGGTCGCTGGAGTGAATTGTCAAAGCTGGTTTAGGCACAGTCGGTCCTGGTTAACTAGAATCAGACCACCTCATGAGAGCCTCTTTGTGCTGGTTGTTTTGTATTTCCATCTGCTCAACTTCCTTGTCTGCTCAATCTGCTCCTATAGTTCCACTCCCCCAACTCAGTTTGACTTTGAGGTTTTAGATCATTGGCTGGCAGCATGCTCTTGTTCACGTCCTCGCTGCATTCCCCACACTCAATTCTCACGTCTTTCCACCTCTCTTTCTCACCCTTCAACTCCCAGGTACGGGCAAGACGACAGTACTAATGCACCGGGCGTTACGGTTTGACCGCCTCTTCCGTCTCTGCGCCATCCCGCCTCACCTTCTTCTCGGAATGACTGCCTCTGGAGACAGCCCTATCACAGGGAAGATGGCGGCGCGGGATGCAGGCATGGATGCAGGCATGGGTGATGGCACAGGCGTCTTGCGGCAGGTGGTGATCACGCGGAGCCTGCAGCTGTGTGCGTCCATTCAGACAGAGCTCACGCAGGCTGCAAGGTGAGAGTGGCGCTGCTGCTCCCCGTGCAAGGTGACAAGTTGACGTGGCTGGAGCGTGCGCTCATGGCTTCCGTTTTTCTTCGCGCATGCTGGCTGTTGTTCACGACTCATATGGTTTCATCTATGTAAGTGTGGATGCCCGTTTATGATAAAGTGTGTGTTTGTGATTAGCCTGTCTGATCGGCCTGTAAAATCAAACCCACTGAAAAGCCAGTTGCTGCTTCTTGGTCTGTTACTATGAGGGATCACACACCCTGGGTTGTTCCCTGTGGCAGCTCGATTGACAGCTCAGCTCATTGGTTTACTGAGTGTGTTTTCTTGCGAAGCACACTACGAAATGCCCTGCACGCCCAACCCTTTTCTCTCGCGTTCAGTTGTTGTTGCACCATTTTCCTTGCGTCCACTGTTCATCTGTTCGTTCTGCCTCCAGAGCACTCGCAGCCTTGGATGCCATCCAAGCCGGCTCTCTTCTGCCGGCCGCCCAAGAGGGTCAAAGTGAGCAAGGTATGGGAGCCGTTCCCGCAGCCGGGTTTCACAGTGGCGGTACTACCAGCAGCTCCAGCAGCAGCACCACAAGCAACGCAGCCTGCAGCAACAGATTGCTGATGCGGGATGACCTGGAGAGTGCACTCATGGGTGGTCTGCCTGCCTGCATAGCAGCCATTCCTCCCTCCGCCTTCCCCCTTGCCATCACTCTTGCCAAGCTCCTGGGCATGCTAGACGCGTCTGTCACCCACCCCTTTCTTCAGGTCACCAGGCGGAAGCGCAGGAAAGAGGAGGCACGGCAGCGCCTCGTGCTGGCGATTGCCATGGGTGGGAGGGGGTTGAGGGAGGCGTGGGAGGAGGACGAGGGTGGGGGGTCGTGGAGAGGCCGAGTGGAGAAGCAGAGGTGGGAGGCGAGGGGTAGAGGTGCAAGGGAGGGACGGAGGCGAGAGGCGGAGGGTTCGGGAGAAGGAGAGCTCAGCCCATGCGAGATAGGGGGGGAGGGCTCGGTTGAGCAGCAGGTCAAGGATGGAAAGGGGAAAGAGGTGCAGAAGGAGGGGGAGGAAGAGAGGGAGGAGGAGGATGTGGAGGTGGACTACGAGAGGTTCAAGCAGCATTATTGGCCGCATTTGGACCAGAGAGCCACCCGGAAGGCCGTGATGGATGTGGCGTACGTTTACCGCGAGATAACCTCGCACATCAAGGGCAGCTTGCAAGCGCTGCACTCGCCCCAGGGGCACGTGGGGGAGGAGGAGTACGTGGGGGGCATGGCGGGCAGCAACCAGCGCACGTCTGCAATGGGGCCCGAGGACCGGCAGGTGGTGTATGATATTTTCCGGGCGTATGAGCGGAGGAAGAGGCGGCAAGGCGAGTATGACTGTGGTGACCTGGTGGGGTACCTTCACAGGGAGGTGCAACGGATGCGAGAAAATGACGAGCCGTGGTGGTGTGTGGAGGATGCGATCGCCAGCCGTCAGTGCACCACTACGCTGTCGCAGCCAGGTTGCCGTATGCGCACACAGCCCATCTCCCAGTTGGCGGCTCTTGGAACGCCTGAGAGAAACAGAGGCACGCGCACGGCCTCGCCACGCAGCAGGCTGGCTTCACGCTGCCCGCCTGTGTTCCACTGTGTGTCGGTGGACGAGGTGCAGGACCTCACTCAGGCGCAGCTCGCCCTCCTCCCGCTCCTCTGCTCCAACGTTGCTTCTGGCTTTGTGTTTGCTGGAGACACGGCCCAATCCATTGCTCAGGGCGTAGATTTCCGCTTCGAAGACCTCGCCAGGGTTGTTTATAATGAGTTTCTGCGTAATGAGGATGAGTGTGGCAGGGGTGGGGGAGCAAAGGGGGTGTGTAAGAAGAGCAAGGTTGGGGAAGGGGATGGGCAGAAGGGGAGGAGGGACAAGGGTCAGACTAAGAACACCAATCCTAGCAGCAGTGGAAGCAATGCATCTTCCCAGCGTCTGGTCAAAGCCCTTCCGACATTTCAACTCTTGCGCAACTACCGCACTCATAATGGGGTGCTGCGACTGGCAAACAGCGTGTTGCAGCTTCTGAGAAGCTTCTTCCCCTTGTCGATAGATCGCCTGCATGCAGAGCTGAGCGTGGTGGAAGGGGGGAGGCCCGTGATGGCATCTGTTTCTCCCTCCTGGAAGAAGGAGCTCGCACAAGGCATGCCTCTCAGCGCTACTCAGGTTAGCAACCCTTAATCCTCTGTGCCCTTAGAGTGGGGCATTGCCCCTTATGAAGAAATGTTAGCGAAGCTTTGTCTCTTGCATTGTGATTGTAAGCAGTCCGAGGTTGTCATCGCTCTCGAGGCCAAGCAGAATTGCTTTTCATGCATTTCTCTCCCTCGCTGCGCTGCAGGCCATTATAGTGCGCAGCACAGAAGAGAAGAAGTCTATGGCGGCACATTTCCCTGTGAAGCCGATCATCCTGACAGTCGAGGAATCCAAGGGGCTTGAGTTCGAGGTGGGTGAAAGGCCGTGCTGCGTACCTACGTAACTTCATGACAGGAAAGCGGAGCAAAGCCGATTATTGGAAGAGTACCTTAAGTCCCTCCCTCCTGGTCCCCTCCTTTTCTCCTGTGCCCCTTCGTTCTCAGGACGTGTTTCTCTTCAACTTCTTCACCTCTCCTCACTGCACCGCCCCGTGGAACCTCGTGTACACTTATATGCGCGATGCTGGCCTATCAGCTGGCACGTGCACTCGCCTGCCCTGTGGCTGCAGCAGCACAGGTTACAGCGGCTGCAGCCTCTGTACTTTGGATGAGCTCAGGTAGGTGTTGCTGTTGTTGCATTGCGACATGTGCATAGCAGGAAAATGAACATTCTGTGTTTATTTATGATCAATCCACTCATTGGTGCCTCACATCTCTCTGCCTTTCATCGCGTGCAATTGGCCTGTATGCCGTGCAGGCACTGTTCACTGTGCTCGGATCTGAAGCAGCTGTACGTGGCTGTGACGAGGGCCAAGCAGAGGCTGTGGGTGCTGGAAGAGCAGGAGGGTGGCGGCGACTACTGCACTCCCATGGGGGATCTGTGGACGGCGATGGACATTGTGGCAGTGAAGCAGGGGAGAGAGATCAGGCCAGAATTAGTGAAGCGGGTGTCGAATGAAAAAGATTGGCAGACACTCGGCTTCACTGTGAGTTGGGCAACTGCGGGTGTAGCTTTGACGCTGGTGGGAGGTTGTGCATCTGCTCGTTTACGTCCTTCTCTTGGCTGCATCTCATATCTGAGAATATCCCCCAAATGATCCTCATGTTTCCACCGGTTGCCACATCTCTTATGATTTGCACCTGTTTCTGGTCCCAATGGCCCGCAGTTTTTTCCAAGGGGCGACTACGAGGCAGCTCAGGCGAGCTTTGAGCGGGCGGGGGACACCCGCAACGCGCGCTTCTCTCAAGCCATGCTGTTCTATGAGGCGGGCGTGGGGCGCATGGCACCGCCATCCGCAGCTGGGATTGCTTTGTCAGCCTCTTCAGCCTCATCAGCCTCGTCTGCGCTGCCGGCAGTGATGCCAGATCTCTCTCTGCTGAGCGCCTCTGAATTGCTCCTGGCTGCGGCCCGTATGTTTGAGGGCATCGAAAGGGGCTTGGAGGCAGGTCGTGCGTATGTGAAGGCCGGGAGCTACGAGGAGGGAGGTAGGGGGTTCTTTCCTTATGGAGGGGAAGGTGAAGCTGTGGGCATGTGGCAGAGTGTGTGAATGCAGGAATCTGGGGCGAGTGACTGCAGGAATCTGGGGCGGGTGACTTCAGTAATCTGGGGCGGGTGAATGCAAACCACCATAGCACAAAGCTCGGAATCTCAGATCAAATTTATTGCAAGCACTCATGTGTGCTTCACAATTGTTCGTCCATCTCTTTCATCTCTTCAGGTGCACCTTGATATTGATCCATCAAATGCATCCCTGCTGCTGCACCCGCGTTCATCATTCTGATGGGCCTATTGTTGCACAGCAACTGCTGTACATCCCTTGTAGCAGGCAAATCATGCCTCATGCAGGCTCGCACAATTACTCACCCATCCTCCCATGAACTCTACGCCTTTCTTCCCTCCCACCCCTCCCTCCCCTCCCACCAGCACGTGCCTATCTCACTCTCTGTCAACCTCCCGACCGAGTCAACGCTGCCCGGTGCTACGAGAAACTAGGAAGGTTCTCCGAAGCATCTGATTGCTACAGCGGTGCAGGGGACAGGCGCAGCGCCCTTGCTGCTTGCCTGCGTGGCCACATCTTTGCCAAAGGCTTGTCGCTTCTGGACGGCTGGCAGGAAGTGGATTCTGTGCCAGCACCTGAGAGGGTCCCTGAGACGCAACAGACACCTGACAGGGCTCCTGACAGGGTCTCTCAGCTGAGGCAGTGGTACATCGTGGAGTGTGCGCAGAGGCTCGCAGGGGCGGGCGAGTACAGCAACATGCTGACGTTCGTGCGCTTGCTGCCCCGATTGGATGACAAGCGGGATTTTCTTGAGAGAGGGCGGCATCTGAGGGAGTTGGCAGTGCTGGAAGGGGAGGAGGGTGAGGGCAGCCGAGTCCCGGGCCTGCTGCAGAGAGCAGGGCTGCATCTAGAGGCGTCCATCCACTTGTGGGAGAAAGGCTGGCCAGGCCAGGCCCTTGTGTGCTTTGTGCGGCACCTGCAATGGCGGGTGAATGCGGCGGGGCGAGGGGCGTGGAGGGTGGGGATGAGAAGAGACGGAGGGGAGAGAGGGGAAGGGAAGGAGAGAGGCGTGGGGCTGAGCCGTGAGGAGGTTGAGATGGCTCAGCAGCTGCGGTCATTTCAGATGGAGAATCTGCGGTTTGCGGACAGGATGGCATGTGAAGGGTGTGATTTGGCATGGGGAAAGGTGGAGATGAGTGTGCTACTGTTTGTGCTCGGATTCAACTCTGATGCTGCTGATGCTGATGTTGATGCTGGCGGTTCTGATGCTGCTGATGCTGATGTTGATGCTGGCGGTTCTGATGGTGCTGATGCTGCTGGCAGCGGTGCTAATGGTGAGCGAGGCTTCAGAGTGGGTTCTCCAGGTGAGTGTGTGTCAGAGGAAGCACAGGATGAGGCCAGGTCCGCTGTGGCGTGTGGGTCTTGTGAGGAGTTGGGCAGAGCGAAGCACCTGGATAGGGAGGCTCGTGTCTCGCAAGCATGGAGGATGGTGAGCAAGGGAGTCATGCTTCCAGCAGGGTGTATGGAGAGGGGCGGACAGATGGCTGGCGGGACTAGTAGAGCGAGCGGGCTCAGGGGCTTGATGGGGCAGATTACAGGAGAGGATGTGAAAGAGGAGGTGGAGTTATGGGAGGGGGTTGAGGTGCTGAGGAAGCGTTCGGAGCAGGTGCAGAGAGAGTGGAGAGGTCTGGAGCAGTCAGAAGGCACAGAGCAGAGGGGACGTGTGGAGTGGTGGAAGAGAGCGGAGCAGCTGCGAGTAGAGTTTATGCTTGCGTACACTGGGCTGCAGGTGTCTCTGCGCTTGCTGAAATGGGGACAGCAGTGCTTCATCCACTGGCTGGAGCACTTCAGTGCTGAGCAGCACGGCAATCGCACATGCATCCCGTCTTCTCCTCATGCGTGCATGACTACTGCTGCTGCAGCGGAAGGTGCCACACCTACCAAGAAGGCATCAGCACTAGCATCGACTGCTGCATCGGCCGATTATGGTACCGTTAAAGCAAAGCCAGATGCAGCACGACTGCGACCGTGCACTCTTGCTGCTCCTCCCATCTCCCTTCTCCACCACAAGGTCTCTCTCTGGTGGTGGCGATGGGCTCGCAGGCTTGCCGCCCTCCTCCCCTCTCTGCACCAGCTATGTCGCCAATCCATGCCAGCAGCAGACTCCCACCTTCCTCGGCTTCACACCGCCTTCTTCCTCCTCTCCGCCTCCTTCCACCGTCGCATTCTCTCCTCCTCCTGCCAGGTTGATGATATGGCGCTGGCGTGGGTGCGTGGGGGGGAACTAGAGGGGTTGTCAAGCACAGGAAGGAGTGGGGAAATGGAGGGGAGGAAAGCAGTTGCAGCAGTGACAGGGGCGTGGGAGAGGGAGTTTGACAAGAGATTGGTGGAAACGAAGCGAGTGGTGTGTGATGGGATTGAAAGCTGCTCCTTTGCGCTAATCAGCTGTTTTCACAAGGTTCGTTAGCTCTTTCCTCCCTGCGTATAATGGAGAAGTCCTAAGATCCTTTCAAAACACGCCATGCAACTTCGCTACTCGCTATTGCTTCTTCAGGATGCAGCTGATGTGTGATGAAGTGCAGGTTATGTCAAGAGTGCTTGCTGGTTTACCATTTCTTGTCTCTGGTTCATCTTCCCTGCCTCAACTCTGGTTCATCTTCGTTCCCCCCACACTAGTGCACGCAGGGTGTTACTGCTCCTTTTGTTCTTATGCTATTTTGAAAACCCTCTTCCCCATTTTTCTGGTCCCCCTGTGTCTGCGCTTATTGCAGGTCTGGTGGGTTCCCATGGTCCCATCCCAGCATCATGTCTCCCCAGTTTCCGGACCATCGCTCACTCCCCACCAGATACCATTCCCATACGCCCCACTCTCCGCCCCACTCCTCTGCCTTCACCCTCTCGTCCCCCACACCGAGTACCTTCTCTCGATGCTCCCTGCCACCATGCTCTCCTCCTCGCGCTCTGCGTTCTTCCAACCCCACTCTCTCACCACAATGCACAACCTCTTGATCTCCCTCCTCCTCCACCCCCGCCCTTCCACCCACTCTCGCCTGCCCGAGGGCCTCCATCACTCTCTCCTTCGCCTCAACTCTGCCTTTGCAGCACTGCTGCTGCGAGAAAATCTGCCACGCGATTCTGAGGAGGGGAGAGGGGCCGGTACAGGTGACGGAGGGAAAGGTAGAAGAAGCCTAGGCGAGAGCGGGTATGGTGGAAGCAGTGGCGAGATTAGTGGAGGCTTGGGACAGGTGCGTGGAGAAGGTGTGGCGTGGGACAAGAGTGGGATAGCGGTGGTGCCTAGAGCAGTGCAAGGGATGGTTGATGTAGTGGCGCGTGGCCCACGCACATGCTGGGAGGAGACTACTGGGCTTTCAGAAAAAGAGGTCTGGAGAATCATGCGGATGCTGCTTCTATCCTTAGTCAATGCTTGTCCTGCGGCTGACGCGCTTCCATATCACAAGAAGTGTCAGAGTACCTCCCAGGGCAACCCTCTCATGGCTACCTCGTTGAGCGCCTTCTTTGATTCCCTTTCCACACGCGCATTGCTGCACCAGCAAGCCTCTGGCGTGTGGAATGTCCACGGGGATGCAGGGAGGCAGGTTGCTCCTCTCACTGTTGCACCATCTCTTCTTCTCCGTCCCCTCTTCCTCGCTCCTTCCTTCTCTGCGGTGGCCCTCATCCTCCCCCCTGATCCTCCATCTTCGATTTTCAACCTCCTGCCGCAGTTCGCTGACCTCCTTTTCCGGCTTGTCTGTCTGCTGCTGCCTGTCCTGCGTGTGGCACGGGGAAGGGAGGATATGGTGCCGGGGTATGCCAGATTCGAGCTGGTACATGCATCACAAGCAATGGGCCTTGGGGTGGTTTGCTTGCCGCTATCGCATTTTGACCACCACTGTTGCAGATGGTGAGGTGATGGCGATGCAAACAATGGCAGATACCAGCAGTGCTGGAAAAGGGTATGGGAAAAGGAACAAGGCATGGTCATGAGTGTTTGTTGTTTGATTAGAGCTAGAAAGCCATTACATATTGCATCCTGTTCTGAATTCCGGTATGCCAAACCTTTAGTATTGGTGGAGAGCAGGCCTGTCGTTATCAGGGTATTTCACCCTGATTCCTTGATTTCACAGGGTATTTTTTTTGCCATTCCTTAATTTTCAGGGTTGGGCTTTTTTGAACCCTATATCAAACAGTGAAATTAATGAATTGAGAGAGAGAGTACACAAACATATACCTAACAGTTGTACTCTCTAGAAGATGACCCTATACAGTCTATACAAGCATGATAACTAAACATGTTTGACACACCCCTTGGACTGCATAGGGGAATGTTCTAGACAAGCAGCTCAGGGTGGCACTACTAGTCCAGCCTCTGAGAGAAGGGTCTAAAAGACCAGTCAGAAGGAGTACAGGCAAGGCAAGAACTAGTACAGGGCGGCACTACTAGTCCAACCACTGTAAGAGGACACAAGTCCAGTCTGAGTGTACACACAGATATATAGGACAGTACAAAGTCAAGGCACGAGTAAATGAGAGACTACAGGAACCAGACCAAGCTGTACACAGTGCCGCTGATGATCTTTAGGCGCAAGCGCCTTCGTAAAGATATCAGCTGTGTTGGCACCGGAGGCTAAGTGTACTACGCGAGCCTGGCGACGCTGCTGTAGCTCACGCAGGAGGAAGTACCGCAGCTGGATGTGCTTCGCTCTGCCCTCGAGTCGAGGCTCCTGACACAGGAGGATCATGGCCCTGTTGTCAGCGTACAGGACCGGGGCAGAGCTAGGCTGCTCACCTAAGTCAGTGAGCAAGAAGGTCAGCCAGCGGAGCTCCTGTGCCGCCATGGCACCGGCGTAGATCTCGGCCTCACAGCTGGACTGGGCAACAGACGAAGAGCGGGTAGCTCTCCACGAGACAGCACCTGAGCCAAGGCTAAAGCAGTAGCCCTGGGAAGACCTGAGCGTCTCGGCGTCGTCTGCCCAAGAAGCGTCTGTGTGTCCAGTAAGGACCACTGGCCTGCGTCCGCCTAGCACTAACCCCATGCCCGATGTACTTGCAAGATAACGCAAAACCCTCTTAGCGGCAGACCAGTGCTGAGGTCGGTGTCTGCCTGTGGCCACGAAACGAGCCAGGATGCTGAGAGGGTATGCGAGATCTGGGCGAGTGCAAGTCATAAGGTACATGAGGCAACCCACCAGCTCAGCGTAAGGACCACTGGGATCTACCGACTCCTCAGGAACTGGAGCGGAGAGTCTGTGGTCCAGAGGAAGAGGGGTGGGCTGTGCGGAGGAGAACTGAAGGCCGAACCTCTGAAGGACCTGGCGCACCAAGTGTGACTGAGTCAGGGTGATGGTGCGCGCGGCTCTGTCCCTGGAGATCTGCAAGCCAAGGTAACGACGCAGCTCTCCAAGGTCAGTGCAGGTGTGTCTCTTCAGCAGCTCTGCCTTCACGGAGGCCAGTGCGTCCCTGTCAGCAGTGGCAAAGACCAGGTCGTCTACGTAGACGAGGATGTAGAACGGAGTCGAGCCAGCACGAACGAAGAGCGAGGGGTCTGCAGAGGACGGAAAGAACTGCAGGTCAGCAAGGGTAGCATGCAAAGTGTCGTGCCACTCACGAGGCGCCTGGCGCAGGCCGTAGACTGGGCGCCGCAGAAGCCACTGGGTCCCAGGGGGGAAGGTGCCAGTAAAGCCCTGAGGGCGACGCAGGTAGACCTGCTCGTGAAGGCTGCCCTGAAGAAAGGCAGTGGAGAAGTCGAGGGAGTGAAGCTCGTAGTCACGCTGAGCCGCTACGTGTAGCAGAACCCGAAGAGTAGTCATCTTCGGGGTAGGAGCGAAAGTCTGAAAGAAGTCCACCCCCTCGCGCTGACTGAAGCCTCTAGCCACGTAGCGCGCCTTGAACACATGCGGCTCTCCAGGAGGGCGCTTCACCTTGAAGAGCCAACGGCCATCGACCACGTTCACCCCAGGTGGGGGAACTGCGTCGACGAAGGTGCCGGTGGATCTCCAAGATGCCATCTCCTGCTCCATGGCAGCTATCCACTGAGAGGCCCAGGGTCCCGAAACCGCCTCAGCGTAAGTACGAGGGGTCGGGATGTCGAAAGCGTCTGGGTCACCCTCAGGGACTAGCAGCATGGAACAGAGATGGGGAGCAGCCTCGGACAGGAAAGCAAGCTCAAACTGGCGGTCCTCCAGGACGTCACTGCTGAGGGCAGGAGCACCCCCGACGGACGGAGGACAGGCAGGGTCAGAGACCAGAGCGGTAGCGTAGTCAAGGCGGCGGGTAGAGGCGAAGTCAGCAACCGCAGCGACGAGGGCGTCAAGACTCGACACTGGAACAGACGGGTCGGTAACGAGAGAGGCAAGGACCCGAGGAACAAGAGGACGAGCGGCACGAAAGTAGTCGGACAGAGGAGGAGACGCAACGACAAGAGAAGACGGAGGAGGAGACGGGAGGAGGGGAGGACGAGACGCGTGGGAACGGAGCAACATAGGGTGAGAGCGCGGGACAGGGGAGACAGGACGAGCACGAGCGGGGCGTCGAGACCAGACGTGTGAGGGCGGCGTCGGGTCAGGAGACAGAGGAGGGGACACAGGAGGGGAACGAGGGGGAAGACGAGCCGGGGACGAGTCTGGCAGAGGGAACACGGGGCCGTAGACGGGAAGAGGGGGAGACGGCAGGAGAGGAACAGGCGCAGTGTCAGGAGACGGGAGGCCGAGCAGACGGAGGGCGGTCACAGGCGGGGACTGCTGCTGCGGCGACACAACACCAACGCCAGGGCCACAAGCTGCGCGACGGCTACCTCCCGAACCCTCCACACCGGCACCCCCAGAAGGGACACCCCCAGAGCCCGAAACCCCGCCAGCACCGGTACCACCCCCAGGCCCGCCGGGACAAGCCACGACCGGAGCCGCGGGACTAGTACCCACCTCAACGCCAGCACCCCCAGAGTCCACAAACGGCGGCAGGGACGACAGCGGCGGCGGCGGCGGCGGCTGCAGCGACGGCTGCAACGGCGGCGGCGGTGGAGACGACGGCTGCAGCAGGTGCGGCGACGGCGGCTGCGGAGGCGGGGGAGGAGGAGACACCGGGGGAGGGACAGACGGCGAGGACTGCGCCGGAGGACTACCAGAGTCAGAAGACTCGTCGACCGGGACGACCGACGGGAGGGGGGTGACGTGAGACACACCAGAGGGGGCCGGACGGGGGGGCGGGGGGGGGGGGGAGGGGCAGGGACCACCGGGGAAGGAGGGACCAGGAACAGGGGGGGAGTAACCGGGGGACCACGGTGAGGGAAGCGGCGGTAGAAGGAGACGGACTCGTCAAAGGTGACGTCGCGAGAGTGAAAGAAGCGGTGGGACGGCGGGTGGTAGAAGTGCCAGTCGGACGCGTCAAGGGGGAAACCGAGGAAGACGCAGAGGAGGGTGCGGGCAGTGAGCTTGTCCGTGCCAGAGGCACGAACGTGGGCAAGGCAGCCCCAGACGTGGAACGCAGACGCGTCACCAGGGGACCCGGTCCACAGAAGGGTCGGCGAAACCTGCGGCCGCTGGGGGTGCGGCCACAGGTTAAGCTGGTGAGCGGCGTAGCGCACGGCGAACGGCCACAGAAAATGGGGTGCACCGGCGTGGATCATGGAGGTGCGAGCCACCTCCATGACCAAACCGATGCGTCGCTCAGCGACCCCATTCTGCTGCGGGGAGTCCAGCAGGGTAAACGTCTGGGTGATGCCCTCCGCACGACAGAAGCGACCAAGGACACCTGAGGCAAACTCGCCACCCCGGTCGGAGTGGAGGCGCAAGGCAGGGAGACCACGGTGGACACGAGCAGAGACAAGCCAGGGGATGAGAACGTCAGGCACGTCGGCCTTCCGCTCCAGGGGGAAGACGGTGGTGTAGCGCGTGAAGTCGTCGACAAGCACTAGGAAGAAGCGCTCGCGACGCGGCCCATGGACCGGGGCTGGGCCCCAGACGTCCATGTGCAGAGTCTGCAGTGGTGCGGTGGTAGGGGGAAAAGAGGAGGAGTGAGGGGCACGGCGGAGCCGGCCCTCGACACAAGGCGTGCACGGTGGGGCGGGGGAGGAGGGAAACTCGGGGAACGAACCGGGGAGACCAAGGACGAGACCGTGCTGGGACATGTGACGCAGACGTGGGAGTGCAGGGTGACCAAGGCGGTGGTGCCAAAGGAGAGTCGGGTGAGTGAGGGACCGACAGGAGCACGCGGCAGCAACCTGGGTGGACGCAGCTACCGGGGGGGAAGACCCAGCCGGGGACGTCGCGGTGTCAAGTGTGAACAGGCCGGACACCGGGTCCCGGGGGAAAGTGGTAAGGGGGGCACCAGTGGCGGCCTCGGTACAGACAGCATACCGCTCGTGACCAGGGAACGTAGTGGTGACGCCAAGGTCCTGGAGGCAGCCGACACCAACTAGGTTCCTGGAGAACGAGGGGATATGCAGACCGGTGAGCGAACCTGAAGGAACCGCTGGACAGGGAAGGGAGGTGGAACTGCGGGCAACGACGGGACCACCGGAGGGGTCAGCGAGAGTAACGGCAGCGGGAACAGGCAGCGGCGTCAGCGTCGTGGAGTCGCGGAAGAAACACCGGGAGGCGCCAGAGTCCAAGGTGAAGGAAAGCGCAGCAGTCGCGTGAGGCGGCAGTGAAGCGGTGGAAGCACCAAGGCTAAGCAAAGCAGGAGATCCTACGCCTGACGCAGCAGGGGAGTCTACGCTAGGCACCGCTACACTAGGCAACACGGGGTAATAAGAGGGAAGCACACTAGAGTCATCAGCATACATCACATGCAAGGCTGCTACAATGGCATCCATGTCCAAGTCAAAAATCCTAATGCTACGCCTAAGCAAGCTGTGCCAGTCCGGGAGGTCGGGCGCCGGGCCAAAGCGCTGGCGGAACAGGTCGTCCAGACGACGAAAACAGCGAGGAGTGGAATGACCGATCTTACCGCAAACGAAGCCGCGGCGAGGACCGGTCTGGATCTGGTACTGACAGGGCCCGCCTCCAGAACCACCACCCGGTGCACCACCACGCGCACGACCACCACCAGCTCCAGGCCACCCAGGCGGGAGAGCACTCGCCGGCCGCGTCTGCGGCGACTGCTGCGGCTGCTGCGGAGGCTGCGGC